CCAATGGGAGCAAAACTTACTTCTTCGTCTAATTTAACTACTATCTACTTATTTTTTTGTTTACAGAAGTATTAACTGAACTTATGGCCGTATTTTTTTGTATTTGTAATAATAATTGGCCGTTTTTCTTTTCTATTACGTACATAGATGTGGCGATGGTGGTGAACTAATACTGTGCGATAAATCAACATGCTCTAAAGCATACCATTTAAATTGTCTTGGTCTTTCTGTACCACCATTGGGTATATGGTATTGTCCATGGCATTATTGTGATTTATGTGGTCATCCGTCAAACCACTTATGTTGGAGATGTCCGAATTCATATTGTGAAGAACATGCAAACCACAATTGTATACAAGTTGATAGCTTAGATATTGATCGTTGGAAGTTAGCTAAATCTAGCCTGAATGACGTCACCAATCCCTCCATAGTATTCAGCGTTCGATGGATATGTTCAGATCATGTCGGTTTAAAAATATATGGACCGGATTACCGACCTGTACTATACTCTGACTCAAATATTCCCACCAAAAAAGTTGCGGTCAGTAAAAATTCAGATAAATTGTCTACTGAAGTTAAACAAAATGGTGGAGAGAGCAATCTAGTAAACTGTTTCATCAACGAAGAAAGAGAAGTTGAAAATATAATTCCAAAGACACCTAATGTCAGCGATTCGAAAATCACCTTATTAAATGATGGTAATACCGCTTCTACTCTTGTCACTACCGCTACATCCACAACAGTTATCAACTCTAATGGCGATAGTAACCAAAAACTAGAACCCAGGCGCTTGGAGCCTCTTAAAGTGACACTAAAGCGCAAACTTAAAGCTGAATTAGCAGCCAAAGAAAATAATTCAGTGTCTGGTCCAAATGACGAAAACAACTTACCGAGCAATTTAGTGGATACTACTCCTAATAATACTAATAATAGTAGTTCTGTAACAACCACTTTGAGTGGCAACAATCATGCCGGTAATCGTAAACGCTTATTAATTACCAGTCCTTTGACAGATAAGAAAAGAACACGTCTGTCAAGAGATAATACTTCAAAATAAGACAATTGCATTTTCATTTATGGTAGTTTATTTCCTGGAGATAGTTGTCACTTTTGTTTTCGGAAAACAGTACAGTTTACCTATATTTTAACTATCATTGTTTATTTGGCACCAAAGTCACCGATATGACTTGCAATATTATCGTTATTATTATTGTTACTACACATGGTATACAGATCCTGTAGGCTCGATTTTTTGTTCCTATTTTATGCTTACCGTACCTCTTATACGCCCATACATATATACTATTGTGTACAAACCAGCAAAATATTATATCACTATAAGTGCGATATGTTTATGGTCAGATTTTATTTCATCCATACTATTATCTCTTCTACAGAATAAGCATTTTATCTTTTTAATTAAAGAAGTATTAACAAATGTAATTGTTTTTCCCTGTTGTAAGATGTATTTCTTTGTTGTCATTTTCAAAATAATAAGTTCCTCTTTGGATTCGAGTTTAAATTTATACTTTATTTTAAAATTGTTATTAAAGTTTACTGGAATAGAATAATACTCGTAGTTAACTGATCCCTAAAATTTAGCTTCCCTAAACATTAGACTTGAACAATCTTTTTTACTAATTCTTATCCGTAGAACATTTCATCTGGGCTCTCAAATGAGTGTTAGTCATATTTATAACAACGTAAACATGCTTTGATTTTTAGAATCTCACGCTTTTCTGAAACGAATAGGTGGATGTCTGTGTTGGAAGTATACTGATTACTTCAACTTATAAACGTTCCAAACTATTTTTTTCTAAATAACAATTTGCAGTTACGGGCAAAATAATGATTTCTGATAGTCTGACGGCTAAGTAAAACATAACGTACTTTGAGGAATCAACTGTTCAATACTACGGTATCACTCTACTTAGTGAGGTTGATTACTGTCTAACTAACGAATGGATAAACATGGTACGCAAAACTAACGGGGTGTATCAGTGGTGCATGCAATATAAGTGGAAGTTTGAAGTAAGCTAAACACTAAGTATGAACGACTATCCCGACCGTTGCTACTACCTTGACGTGGGGGTCGGCCTTGCCATTCGTGATGAAAAAATTTGGCTATACTGGCTGAAACAATCGTTCCTCAAGGTCCTACCTTTCCAGATAGGTCGATTGAAGAATGATAAGACTGAAAGCAGCAAACCCAAGGTCCGAAGGTAAAGTCGTACCGCTGACTGTACAGAGATGTGACAGCAGTAAGGTGTTTCCTCCATACAACCAGCATAAAGGCGATGCTGCCTTTTCACAAAGGAAAGCTTGAGTTAGTAAAGGCCGACCCTAACAATGCACACCTCACTTTATCCCACGGATAACCGTCTCCGGCAGTAAGGTCCCGACAAGTACGGAGCTAACACAGTTATGGAGACAGCAGCGACATCTATTACTGATTTAAATCAGAGGGTTATGGAAAACCGGTGGATTTATGAGACATCTAGAGCACTGATAGATTCTCGTAAACTCATCCCACCAGGCTCTGAACACGACGATGAGCGAAAACAAATCAGATCTAGGTTAACCAGTGAGTAACGAAAGAGATGGAAAAGTGGACAACTAACAAAGTGTAAGAATTTCGGAGAAGGACAGTGCTCTCAGCCCAGACATTTAGAACGATAGCTGAAACACTAAGGAGCAGTTCGGCTGACCTTCAGCCACTATATAACTACCATAATGTCCAAACAATCTGAATAAAAAAACAACCCCAGACCCTAGCTGTGGTTCAAAAGTCTATAGCTAATCTGGAATGAGGAAGAGCAGTTGGTCCAGATGGATTAGCTACAGAGTTCTTTAAGTATGGTGGTCCAATTTTAGCGATTAGGTTGACTAATATTTTAGCTAAAATCTGAGGGTTGGATGTAATCCCATCTAACTGGTCAGTCACAATCACTGATTGTCCCAATATATAAGAAAGGATCAAAATCATCCTGTAATAACCATAGAGGGATTAGGTTGACTAATGTAGCATCTAAAATACTAGCCTCAATAAATATCGAACGCCTAATAAAGACTCGTGAACTGCACACACGAGAAAATCAGGCCGGCTTCAGACCTGATCGTGGCTGCATCGACCATATATTCACCATTCATCAGACTAAAACACAGGCAGGCTTATCGGAGTTCGACAATGATGGTTTTTCTTGACTTAAGAGCAGTATTTGACTCTGTAGGCCGAGGGGTTCTGGGGCACTGTCTGTTATTGAAAGGTGTACCTCACATGTACATAAACCTTGTGAAGGCTCTTGACACGAACACTAGTCGAGTGAGAGCTCATGGCGAACTGTCATCTGTTTTTGCAACCTCAAGTGGTGTCTGTCAGGGCTGTCGTTTTTCTCCATTTTTTTTAGCTTCATCATAGACCTACTAATGGAAATAACGTTATCGTCGACTGAATTTTCAGGAATTAATCTCCTATCAAGAGGTCCACTTATCGAATTAGAATACGCAGATGATATAGTCCTGTTTGGTGAAGACGTTGATAAAATGTAGTGTCTTGGTAGCACTCAGCAACAATCCCACAATGTTTGGGATGCGCTTTCCCTGTAAATGCGAGTCGTTGCTCCGGGACTGGCCCGAGTCAACACCTGAACTAAGGATAGGGAGTAAAGTAGTCGAACGCGTTGACAACTTCACTTGCCTTGGAAGCTGATCAGCCCTAATGGGTTGGTGTCTGATGAAATCTCAGTACAGATGCAAAAAGCTCGTCCGGCCTTTGCCAACTTACGTCACCTATGGCGAAGGCGAGATATCCGTCTATCAATTAAAGGACGAGTGTACTGCGCGGTAGTTTGCTCTGTTCTATTTAATGATGGCAAGTCAGTTGACGACGTTGTGAATCTTCATCGACTGAGAAGGTTGGGCCACGTGTTACGTATGCCTGAACACCGGTTATCACGACTCGCAATGCTGACTAGTGTTGAGGATGCCTGGAAGTTAAGTGCGGTCAAAACAAAACTTGGCATCAGTTCACAAAGTCTTATCCACGTTGGTAGAGTCAGACTACTTGGTTGGGGTCCGCGCGACTATCGTAACTAATGGTTGGAGAATCTGGGTGACATGGCTTAGAATCAACTACACTCTTTGTCTTCCTTTAAACCGTGAGATTAGATGCACTTCATACCTTTCTTTCTCGCTGTGTCTTATCCTCATATAAAATTTGTTTTTTTACTACCACTGAAGTAACTGCTTCTATGAATTTGGTTTTCATCTTATGCTAATGACTTTATGGGGACTTGGACTGATGCATTTATATTGCCTGGTCCTACGTTTTAACTGAGTAACTGATAAACAACTATGGATGTACACTGTGAAAAAATTGGCTCATTGATAAACTTTAAATTGAAAATAAAACAATACCACATACTTCTTTATTTGATAAATAATAAAATCAAGTAATTAGGCAATCTAATGGGTCATTTGTGAACTGAATCAAATATGCTTGCTTGTGCGAAGTACATTGATGGAATAATAAAAAATTCAGTATTACAGTATAAATTTAAGGACAAGTCTGCAGCGAAGCATCTGAAACAAGATCTACTTAGATTGTTTAGAAAGTCTTAAGAAATTACATTCATCTTCGAATATACGTATTTTTGGAGTTTATTTACAGTTTGTGAGTGATTATTTCTGTATATACCTTGATTTTCGAACAATATTACATCGCCACACATACCGATAAAATATACAAACATAATAATGATAAAAACAGTACAACAAATGATAATTTCCATTTTAAATTCTCTTTTTAAACACATGTTTCGATTATTAGCTTACAACAAATGATTTGCAAACGACAACCAAATATTATTACAAAATCCCCAGATAACTGAAGTACTACATATAAAAATTATGAAAAAATATGACAGTAATACAAATATTCTCTTCCAAAATCAAAAAGCAATACGAAAAATATGTTTCCATCAACATCAAAACTATAGGGATTAGTCGATAAAGCGAAATGTAACTGACTGTACTCTCCATAAATTTGATTCCTGTGTTAAGAAAAATGTTTCGGAGAAAATATGGGTAGGATGTTGTTCAAATTTAATGGTACCAAACACATTTACCAAAACCAATAATCGGTCACCGCTTAAACTTTCTAAAGATGAAAAACAAAACAAAAAATAATTATTAACAATGGTGACGTTCAAACAATTAACAGATATTTGCCAGAGAAAATAAGACCAGATATCATCGAGTATATGGTTTTATGAAAGAGGATTAAATGAGGGTCATCAATTTGCATCCCTTTATATGATCATGACACGACACGCCAAGTATTGTATGCCTTTTGGTAACGAATTAAAAACTCATACGCCAAATCAAGTAAATAAATATTTATTTTAGGGTTGAAATAAAAGTCAAGAGAACAATCATATCAATACATGAACCATCCACCTGAAAAAAGTTTAGCTTGGTTAGTTTACACTAAATCTACTTACTAAGGAATAAAACATTCAAGATATACAGTAGTTTGCATGATAATCTATTCAGTTATAACTATATCATTACTGGTTCTTTAAAAAGTTGTTGCAGTCATAATCTTTAGAAATAAAAAACAAACTAAACTGATAATCAATAGATGAAAATTTAGTAATATGTTTATTTAACATCAGAGGGTACTCGTCCAGTTTGAAAACTAGAATTCATTCGCTATTTGATCCTATTTCAGTAACCAAAGTGTATGTCACATGAATGAAGAATTTACGTGATACGGCTTGCAATCTTAAGGATGGTGGATCGTTGTAATCTATCCCAAATTCTGCTCCTAAATCGATATGAAGTATCATTTATCGATAAAAAAATCTTTTTATTTAACTTTCTAGTCACATTTAGTAATATTCCATACCGTTCTTCCTTCAAAAAACAATCGTTTCTTTTGACTACTTCCTTATCTTTGATTTGCTTTAGAAGCCCAGATTATTGTCCTCATTATTTTTTATTTCTTCTTATTGATTCTCCTGTACTTTCTTTATGTTTATGTTTTGTGACTACTTAATGGTTAAGCTTGAGTTTAAAAAGTCAGCAAATCGTCCAACAGCTGAAAAAACGAAATCTAAAATCTTACTAACCAAAAATGGTAAAGTCGTATACAACAAATTACAAAATTGGGAATAATTACCAATTCATTAAATGGAAACTTACTATGTACTGGTTGACAAGATAATGAGTGTAAGGTGCATGTACTGTCTGGAAGCTTAGAGAAGAAGTCAACCACTAGTTGTTGACCTTCCACACGATTCCCATTCCACAGAAGAACAACATTATCCATAAAAAATCCAGGTAAATCGGGCCTGTTCGGCTTGTCAAAAGCACGATAGTACAAAGCACTGAACTTTTCTCCCGCTTCTGATGCTGTTTTCCACAGTTCGTCATCATTACCCGTAACTTCTGTAGTTTGACCCATCTAAGCATGGATAATAATTCATTTTTGAAAGGTAATCAGGAGAGCAAATATCACAATGGATTTACTACCAGGTATACTTTTCTCTACAAACTATTTGGTAGATTACACACTAACTCATTTATTGGCTAAATAACTTCTAAGATGAATTTGCTTGTGATACGAATAATGAAACATCTGTTAGCACCCAAACATATTACCTCTAAAAACTGAAAATCGCATGGCCTCTAGTACATCACTTTGAAATGTTGTATATCCTAGTGCTAAATGAACCAAAATATTAACAACTGGTGTGCCTGCTTGTTTTACGCAAAACTTTTTACAGTTTAGATGTACAGAATGTGCGAATATTTACCAACAATGATCATTTATTCACATGATTTTCATGCAAGAATTCAAAGTACACGAGAGTTAACAAATTTGTCCAGAAAACGAAATGCAGATCTCTCACTAAACTGATGATGCATGTTTCCAATGAAAATTAAGGTTCTCACTAAAGTAATGGCACCTTGGTGCTTCTGACCATACATTACGATCAATTAATTGACCCTAACAGCGAGAAATGAAACAGAATCACTTAATAATTTTGAAAACAAATGTCCAAATTTCCTAGGGTCCAGGGAAGTAATATATGTTTTATATGGGAAAATTATAAGGCGTATATTATAGTGACCACTGAAGTGAAAATGAAAATAACCTCCCCATTTGTATTTAATGATCAAACACGTACTGACTTCATTTTTGATCTAAATCACGTGCAACAAACAAACCACAAAACTATCTGGGTATTCATTTTTACCACACACTTGAGAAAATTTATTACAAAATATCGAGCAGTGAAACCCGACCTGCAGTGAAAAAGTGGAACAGAAGTCGATTGCTGTCAATATTCATCACTAAACTATCAGACAATAATAGCAAAAAACCCATACAATCTAAACAAATGTGCCAGTGAGCATAAAACTAATGTCAAGTATTAGGACCATAGAGGGTGAAATAACAACAAAACCTGCGAATCGAAATGCAGAACAGCACAAATCAACTCACTGTACTTCGAACTGACAAGTTGGTGTCAGTCTTGAGAAATACATTAATACATGTCAAGTGACAAGTAACATGAGCTAAGGGGCTTCTTACTCTACTGAATGAGTATGTTCAACCTAAAATATCCGTCAAAAGTTTAGGGTAATCTGATGAAACAAATGTAGATACGATTGTCACATATATACTAAGAAATGAAATCAAGTGTCTCTTTGCAAAACACAACCGACAATAACCAAGATTGACTAGTCGTTTACTTTTACCACTCTTCCCATCTACTACAAGGAAAATATTATTTAAGGTAGATAAATTTAAGCAACAAATAATAGGGCACAACATGTAGCGAAAACAAAACTGAAGACAAATTAGCACCATCTTTATTACAGAGATATCGTAATTCGAAATAGCAAATGAAAGAGAAAATACAGGCTATTAAAATTAAGTAGACGTCAAATTGACAGCAGGAAAATCCGGTTTAAACAGATATTGTATACATACAAATCAAAAAAATATTTCAAGTTCACAAAACAAAACAAATGCATAAATAAATTTCGATGTTAAGGAAACCACATTAAAGGCTAATACAGACTAGAATGTTTGACTGAATCAATTCAAGATTAACAACGGGCATTTAGGTTTCGAGATCTGTTTCCAAACCAGATTTTGTAAAAATAACTTTGTTGGTCGAATAAAGATCGAATAAGACCAACTTGAACAGTTGCTACGGCAATCATAAGAACAACTTGAAACAATGAACCGGTCATGATGCGCTCCAAGTTCCCCTCCATCAATGATTTATCTGCAGAGTCAAAATTACTAGAACGTTGTTGCATATGCTCGATGCGTCGCAAACGGCCAAATAATATATCCAATTGTGCCTTAAAAAAGAAATAAACGAGTTATATATATATATATATATTAGAATTAGATCAATGCACGGAAAAAATGAAAAATATTTATCTAATTCACAAAAGCAACTAACCATAAGCTTATTAATGTTTTCCGCATGTTCAGCACTTGCCGCTTGAGCTTGTGAATTCACCAACGGATTATTACGTAACGTTTCGATTGCTTGTCGTTCCAGTTCACTAGGATTATCCCAATTTAAATTAGCATCTACAGAGAAATAGACATTTTTATACGCATAACTAGCTTTCCTATTGTCTAGACAAATTGCGTATGGCATAAGTCGGAAGTATTTCGGAACAGATATTCTGAAAATAAAGAAAAAAATCACATTGAGAGCACATTACATGCACAGCAGTGATATCTACCCAATGCACTTTAGCAATAAATCTGAGTAAGGTTTAGGCGAGTAAAAACGCCTTTTTGAAATGATGTTAGAGACGAAGTCTTCAGTAGCCGTTTTCGGTAGTACATCTCATTAACGTGATTTTATGTCATATTAAAGGATAAATAAATCATATCGCGGACAATGTTTATTTTTTATTTTTATTTTAATACAAAGATATCGGTACAAGAAGGCACCAAATACATATGCGCCACACAAATCTCATTCGATGTGTGAGGGCTGTGATACTGCCCGGGTGCCCGAACCGAAGCAGATGGTTTTCTTAGGAGGCCACTCCCCGAGCGTTCGACCTGAAGGTCTGATCCACAAGGCAGTGGAGCATCGTAAGGAGATCCAGTCCCATGGAAGCTAGTGACCAACAATTGGTTCATACGCCGTTTGTTCCTGCAGGATGCTGGAGCCCATATACACCATTGGTTTGGAATCCGGTTAAAGCGCCGGACATTCACTTTTCGTCCTCTCATTTTCGTAAACAACACCCCATCTGCGAGAAGGCAGTAAGTAGGACTTCCCTGGTAGAGGCTATATACGCGTGGCCATGTGAGAGCATTTCGAGAGGGAGAGCGGACTCTTCCCACTCTCGTCCGTACCAGGGCATTTGGGGGCAATGACATTGATTACATAACTCAACCAGTTAGTCATAGATAAGGTAGGATACGAATATGTAAATTTCCAGGTTGTCACTAAAATTCCCAACACTGAAGAACGTTGTATGGATATGTATAAACCGGAGTACAACAGGAAGTCAATGGAAAAAATTAGTGGATACAACCATTATACGTGAAAAAATTGAAACATTTGAGGGAGAAATGAAACACAAGGAACGACAAATGTAGAGAACTATAGCGTCCAGGATAAAATATAGAGTAAATGATTTTGGAGACAAGAGGGGTTTCAAACTCCTTGATATCATCTTCAACTACTAATTAGTTTTATTGCTAACCCAAACTGCTTCACTATGCAGATTAGGTCAACGAACAAAAGTGACTATAATGTAAACTGCTAAATCTTCCCAATAACTGTGGCCAGTGAGTGTATTCAAAGCAAAAGATATAAAAATAGCAATTGCAACCGACAACACTGGACAGTTGATTATAATCACTAAGAATGAAGACAAATGTGACTCTCTACTACACCATATATTTGGAAAAATGAGGGACACAGCCTAAAAACGTCATAACATAATCAAACTACTCTTAAGGTCAAAAGCGTTATTTAAAAGCCCATAAGAAATTGACATTGCGCATCCAACACTTATTGAGGTTAAAAGTTCATAAGTAACCTGAAGCTAGAGAGACCAGCTTTTTCAGTATGTTAAATCCAAAAGCTTCATAATGTATTAATTTAGTTTTTTGTTAGATTAACTGAGATTTTACATAGTTTGAAATTTGGACGGTAGTCTACTACACAGATCATTATTATAGCTGATATCCCCGGTTGATAAAAGGAAATATTCTTGTGATCAGAGGAACCAGTTTGACCAAGTTTCTAGGCCTTCGACTTCTATAATCATCTGATAGCTAACCAGACAGGATAAAAAACAACCAGGAAGGTTCCAAACTCAGTTGCAATGTAACAACCACATCAAATTACTGGGAACTATTTATACGAATGAACAGGCTGACGTCTTTCGTGCTAATTAATACAGAGATGTATAATTCAAAATATTACGTGACCTCAAAATAAAATTCCACATATGTAATGGTCCGTCACAAACATACTTCCAGAAGTTACTTCCTTCTGCTTTTTGAGGATTATATTCTAACTGAAAACGTTTTTATTGACAACATAGTGCTGACTAACGAACATTTTTATGAATGCCTTCAATAGCAAAGCTGCGTAGTACAAAAATTGAATAGAGACTAGCTATGGGTCTGGTTCGTAAAATTCTTTCATTCATCTATGCTGCTTAAAAAGACGAAGGAAACCTATATTGAAACATTGTTGAGCTCACCAGATCGCTTCACTTGTTTGAGGATAATCTTATTTAAATAAGTTGTCTTTGTTCAGAAAGTCTTAATAATAACTTCATTGAGGTTCTACTAAAACAAAGTTGAAGTGCCTAGGGTATTCAGGAGACAAAGAGACATTCAGTGAATGTGTAACACGGAAACGAAGCGGTAAACCTCAAATACCTAATTTTACTCACCGACTGTTGAGTCATGCCTGAAATTCTTAGTGGACATATACTGATCTTTGTATATAGCACAAGCTCAAATAACTCCCGAAAATAAAACTGAATGTAACAGACGTTTTATTACAAGTCAAGATACTGACTAATACATTAACATTCTTTAGCTGACTTAGCCACAGGTGCATCATAAGGACCTATCGCTATTCAATTTTATAATGGCTTCTCGATATATATATATATATATATATATATATAAAGTCAACAGGAATGAAAATAGGTTTACCAGTGAATGTAGCCTCGTTAGTATGAATACTAGAACTAAGACTTGCTTTGAATGATTTCCAGGAAACTTTCATAAGATATGTTTCTATGTGCGTACATGTCCACAGAAGATTAACGAACTAGCTTCCAACTAAAAACTGGGATGATGGACTTACGAAACTTGAGAGTCTGATAGCGGTGGTCGGATAGCGATTGGTTCTCCTTCGGGATCCCGAATGAATATGCCGATATCTAAATGACCTCCTTTAAGAACCTGTAAAGTAACACACTCAAACTGGTAATTACTTGATATTCGACATCAAAGTTAGTGATTGGTCTATAGAAGTAGCAGTGCTTCACCCCGGGAGGTACAATTACGACCAAAGAAACAAAGTCAGCCTGATTCTGTATTGGATCTTCACGTGATGGTAAAGAAAAAATTTCATCTAATTGGTACTCCGATGAAGTATCTCTCCGTGACTTTTTGGGTCTATTATGAGAACTACTTTGATCTCCAGCTTCCCACTGAGATCTAGATACAGTGTTATCACTAGGATCTTTAAACAGAGTGTCCTTGCTATCATGAAAGTGACGGCGTTCGGACAACTCAGGACCATGGTTAGACACCATAGAGCCAAGTTCATCATCGAAATAGTTTGGTGGTGGCTGATTAATTCTAGCACCTGGTACTTGTCCTTGAGACAAACGGTTGTCCACCCGATATCCTTGTATATGAAATCATGTGCTTGACCACCTGGACTCGGTTGTGGCCCACGGGCCATGTTTGGGAGTGGAATATTAGACACTGTTGGTATCTGCTGAGCATTGTGAGTTGTTTTTTTATGCATACTTGTATACACACCATGACTAGAACCTGACTGGTCATGTTCTTGATTGACAATGGGAGACTCATGATTAGAACCACGTGTTTCATCAATATTAACATTCGAACTGTGATCAAATGACGATGAATCTTGACCATATGATGCTTCATGAAAACGTGGAGAATCGAGATGACTAGGCTTTCCGTTTGTTGGATTACTTATATGATTACCATCTGAAACTATTGAGGACGAGTACGTGGAATGAGTGTCAAGATTTTCAATGGGTGTATTTGCATTAGCATCTTGGTGCATAAACTGCCCGCTAGTTGCTGACGCAGTATTGGGATACTCCCTTAAATTGACAGATGGCTGACAATTTACAGTCAAAATTAAAAACAAATCCAAAATCCTCCCCAGTCGTCCCATCACAAACATGAAAACTCCAAACCACCGCCTTTAGAGTAAATGAAATTGTTGAAAGTTAGTAGCGAGGGAAAACAAAATATGGTTTCGTTCTCCGGTTGGCTGAATAACACAAAAACATAATAAAACTATCCTTTTAATGGTTTTCGTGGTTACAGAAATTCAAAAATGTGCCTAATTTGATCCTTTCGCAAGGATATTGCCAAACGAGCCAAATAAGGAACCTTCCTCATACCTACTGAAATCCCAAAGTCCTGTTAACCTCCAACAAAGCTACTTTGAAGGAAAGAGATTTGTCCGGTTGATAACAGTCAAATTAATTGCTCCGAGATATTGAGGAAGGTTATAATATAAGGTGAATGATTCTGTAGTGACTCACTTTTATCACGAGAACACGATTGGTTCATTGAAAACAGTTATTATTAAACCAATTGTACCAGTGACTGTTTTAATGTGCTTTTGTTTAACTGTGCTAATTATAGCCCTTTTGTGCTTCCATTACCTTCCATTATTGTTCCGCGGTTTTTGGTGCTGTTCGCACGTACTACTTCCTCCTGTTTCCACTTATACCATTCCTTGGCATGATCTTGGTATTCGTTCAATACCAGGAGATCGCCAACGAAATAAATTTGGTCACGTTCAACCTTCGCCTTCGGATTTACTTGGTAGCGGTGTTCATAGTCAGTCTCAACTCGACGCCACGCTACAATTCAAAGCCAAAGATGGCACGGATATTTGGAGTTTCATAACACTTTTATCTGTAAAATCTTAACAGTCGCAACGTGTCAAGCCGGTAAAATCAAATTTCAGAAGTGGAGGGGTTCGAATATATACTTGTAAAACTGTCGATATGTCAACAAGCGTTTGATCTAAGCTGGGTACTAGTTTCAAGGGAAGCGTAACACGGCATATCAACTTGCGATCCGATGTGGGTATGTAATCAAGCGCATCTAGTAAACCCGATGGTGTTAGCAACAGTGTCGAAGAATGACGGGACTGTCTATTTTGAGGATTTATTTACCGCTGCACTTAGCCTAACTATCCGTCAAGCTAAACATTAATTCCTTTAGCCATGGATGTTCGGCTATCAAAAATCAAAGTAGTCTTCCTGTGAATTCTGAAGTGTAAAGAACGAGAGAAGTACCAAGGATATCTGAATGACATGCTATGGCACAGGCAGATACTTGAAGCTTCACTTACGGTTATGTTAGTTAACAAAATTGACTGTAACTATATAGCAGTAGGGGCGTTATCACTTTAAATAAGGACATAACTGTCCTTGTTTCCTCCTATTACGATTTGTCCATTTGTCTCGGACGTCGTGAAGTGTTCGTTTTGAAGAAGTGCCAAGTAACGTGAAATTACTGGCAACCTCAGGTATCATGGGGTAGGACAAAACATATCGTATTGAGCTTTTCGGATCATTATCCATTAAACTCGTTGCCATGGCCACCTGCAATACGAACAATTTATAAAATTAATCTTCTGACTTACAAATCTGTCCCTGGTTTCGTTCTGCTGCAAGCCAGTGTCCAGCAACTCTAGTTCCTCTTCAGATGACAAAGGGAACTGCTGACTTGATAGTTCGCAATCGAATTAATACGGATGTTCGCGTTCAGTGAACTTCGCTAGAAGCAGCTTTACATTTGTACTGAAGTCAGTAGTAGCTGACGACATGTTGTGCCACATTGTATTCAAGTCAGTAATAACTGAATACATGTTCTACATGATTGTGTACAACCTATAAAATCTGAAAAACTTCACTTGATCGTACAGGTGACTAACTGGGCCGCTGGAGCACAGCCTACGTGCTTAACTTTTAATGTTGAAGGTGATGTATCTAATTTTGTCGAACTACTTCATTAACATCTAAATAGTAATGAAACGTACTTAGCAATTGACGAGGCGACTCTGTCGAAAAACAGAATGTTCCGATATTGTACGTGGCTAATACCAGCCTTCATCTCAAGAACATTTGTGTTTACTGAATTGTAAAGAAATCCTTCTTTACGCTTCAATGCACCTCTAGGAAATGTTAGTAAGAATATTGTACTGACCTCTTGGGCTTCTCAGTGTTCAGTGGCAAGGTGTCATCTTCCGTTGAAGTGTTTTTACGGTAAAGTTTCAGTATTTAGAGGGACAATAGCATATCCTTTACAGACTGCAGAGAATCTATGGTAAATTATAATTTCTATGTTTGTTACTCACCGAATTCGTGAGTGACTTTACATTTCACAACTGACCAATTGTCATCTGGTCCGTCTCAGTTTTGCAGTTGGATATCGACCGGCTCCGTTGGAGAAAGGCAAAGTTCTTTCCCAACAATCCATTGCTTTGCTGCAATCATAAGTTGTTTCTTGCTAGGAACGTCAACAATGACGTATTGTTTGTACGCGCGTATTATCCGCCAGTTTTGAATTGTTCCAGACTCGAACTAGGCTTAGAAGTTTTGAAAACTCGCACTAATCCGTGTCGCCAAGACTGAAGCAGCTCCTCTAAGTGTAGCAGAGTGAACTATATCTAGGCCATTAAAAATGCACTTGTCTGTATGCTAGAGTCTCTGGTACACCAGTCCGGTGCTCCGGTCCACTGTTGAGGCTCCTGTTGACTGGCGAGTGAAGCTCTAGTCGAAGCAATTTGTATGTGATGGTTTAAGTGCTTGAAATTATTGTTCTCGCCAAGGGCTCCATGGAATATCTGTCGTTGTTGGCGGGGCCATTAAGACCTAACAACCTGGAAACCACGGTTTCGGCTCGTTGAAGAGGGGCTCCATAACGAACTGAGCTTTTTGAAGGAGAAGAAACCTATTGACTAGCTTGACCTGGTGCTGAGGGCTATCTTCTGTCGCTTCCACGCACTGATTTCTTACTTTCTTGAACTGCCTGTGTGTGCAGTCTTCGCTGAGTCGTTCGTATTCAGCACAGTAGCACCTTTAGAGTTTTAGCATTCGAAAAGTGTGATTCTCGTAGTTCTTAAGGACATTTTGTTGTGAAGACTTCTTCATAACATGAAGGTCGTATGCAGTTAAAAATCCCGGAGGACCTCCAAGACTTGTGAGCGGACTTCACAGTTCACCTGCCGTATACTCTTCTGTAAATCTGATACATCAAAACGTCTGAAATTACAATGCCTGTTGTCAGTGTGATACTGTAACTCAGTCTTGCTAAAAATAATGGAAGGCTATGGCTGTGGGATCGCTTTTTTCCAGGGGAGCCAGGAATAGAAACCCGTCAATTAGAAATTCTTCGCTTGTAAATATGCAGTCTAAGCTTAACAGCGTCTGACTGTTTCTTCACTGAGTTGCCAACTTTACGTTCCGAACAATTCAGTCTCTTTAATGATGTTAAAGAACCGAGCTTTATTAAAGTTGTCTTGTCCAAAAAGCGTGCTGAGTTTCAGCATATCCTCATTGTTGTTGGAGATTGTTCCGTCAATACTAATGTTGTCAAAGACACATTTCTTTATTCCATTACGAGTCTTCGTTTGTTTATCCGTTAAAAGAATATATTTTTTCACGGTTGTTAACGATGTTAGTCAACAAATCTATTATGACTAGAAGTATTCGAGTCATTATTCTAGCTAGTAATTCTCGAAGTAGTGCAAAAATAAACCAACCAGAGCTAAATGGACACAACCGGATGTATTATATTCAGAAGTCGAACTCAGAGGCCATGAAGTACAAAAGAACCATTATCATTATTATGGTTGCGAAGAGAAGTACATTCTCAATCAGTTCGAATTAACATTGCTGATTGAGTGTGTATGTCATAGCGTATACAAAATCATGTAACAAGGAAAAGGAGTGATGTATGATTGTGGCTACAAAACATAAATTTGTGTTACTATTAGTCGTTAACTCTCTTTTTCTTCTGCGCATCTCTCTTTTTAGCTAACCTCTCTAACATTAAAAAGAAGAATATATTTGTAAAATCTCAGCGAATGAATTTTAAGTAAATCCAACGTTTCGCCTGGCAATCTGGTCCAAGCTTTTTCAAGGAAAATATAATCAAACAACAAAATTATCGAATATAAATAGGTACATGGTTCTTCGGTTTACTGTACACTGAATAAGTCATCCAATCGACGTGAAGGATTTCTTTATAGATAGGTATTTGTATTAATGTGTAAGAGACATGTTTATATGAAAAATAATAAAGGTCAAACAAATAAAATAAAATAAAAGTTCATTTGAAAATAATCAAGGGGAGAGAAAAATAAGAAATTGTCATGTTATCCTAGGCCATAGAATGACTGAAGGATTATAAGGTAAATTCAAGGTTATGACAAATTGTTTTTTATGTGTTATGGAACCAAAACGTGTTAAGATAACAGAATGTGTTTATACGCAAGTGATATGAGAAAAAAAATTTCATTCAACTTAATATTGACTACGGTCTGTGTATATTAAGAAAACAAATCATTTTTATGTAAGAAATGAATCAAAATGCTACAGCCTGCATTAAATGAAGATAAGTAAACAAAATAAACGAGGAATGTAAATGTAATTGAAGTGTGTTATTTTAAAATGTTCCAGTCAATTGTTTAACATATTCAGATAAGATAACGGATTTGAATCATTGAACGTATTATCTATCAATTAGTTACTATGGCATAAATATATCAAATGGCAAAAAGGAGATCAGGTTTACTTATTAATTATTAGTTGCCATGGTGCAGCTAGTTGTATTCCATCTCTCCTATTAATATTGTTTAAATTAGCCCATATATGTAAGGCTTCAGCTGTTAGGCGTTCTTTGTAAGAATTAAATCCTTTTTGAATGATTCTCGTGCCATTGAAATCAACTGTATGACCCGATTCAATTGAATGTAATGCTATCGCTGATCTGTTCTCAAGCTTTTTTACATCAATTGAGGATTTAGGAATATGC